TTTAATCATTTTCAGGTATACAGTTCAGAGACATCACTTACATTCATAATGTTGTTCAATCTTTGCCACTATTACCAAAACTTTTTCATCACTTCAAACAGAAACTGTGCCCATTAAGGAATAATTCTCCACTCCTCCCAGAACCTGGAAAACTCTAATCTACTTTCTAACTCTATGAATTTGCCTATTCTAGATATTTCCTACAAATGAAATAATATTTGTTCTGGTTACCTAGTACAGCTCTGACAAGAATATACTACAAATGGGATGGCTTTAACAAACAGGAGCTTATTCTTACACTTTGGAGGCTTTAAGTCCAAGTTTAAAGTGCCAGGCTCTAGGGGCTGAGTGAAAGCCCCTCAACCTTGGACTTCAGCTCTGCCTCCTGCTCCTGGCCCACTGGAGCTAGAGGCTTTTCTTCCCTCAGACAGCTGCTGGCTGCCAAGATTGACAAGCCCAAGGTTGACAAGTAAAAAGCCACAGTCCCGATGTTACCAAACCACATGGCAGGCCATTAATTCAAGTTCATTCAAGTCCCAAGGTCGGCAGAGCATGGGCAGGCTGCTGAAAAATGACACGGCTACATTCAGGGTTCAAGTGTGCCATCAGCTAGAGACCATTCCCCAAGGCTTCTCCATACATACAGGAAGCAGACTACATCCCTAAGGCAGCTACTCAGCTGCTCACAGCAGATTCCATCATGGAACTGATTACCAGTCTCCTCATGGGGCATACTACATCCAGCTGCCTGACTTCTCACCCAGGCCCAGCCAAGTTGACACACGAACTTAACTACCGCAATATTTGTCCTTTTATATCTGGCTTATTTTCATTTGACTCCATTTAGTTAGGTTTTCTTGATGTCCTACAGAATTTTTAAAACTTCTTTCTGAACCTCGATTGTAGTATTTTAAAATATTCAGAGAAAAATCAGAATCCCCTGCAATATTTCAAATGACCTCTCTAAAGTGTCAAACAAACCAAAAAAAAGCGCAAAGATGTCACTCTGAGGACTAAGATGTGCCTAACCCAAGTCAATCGCCTCATATGCATGTGAAAGGTGGACAATGAATAAGGAAGATGGAAGAAGAGTTGATATCTTTGAATTGTGGTGTTCACAGAAAAATAATGAATAATGTGTGCAATACCAGAAGAATGAACAAATCTATCTTGGAAGAAGTGCAGACAGAATGATCCTTAGAAGCAATCAATGATAGTAAGACTGTTACTTTGGACATGTTATCAGGAGGGACCAGTCTCTGAAGAAGGATATCAAGCCTGGTAAAGTAGAGGGTCAGCAAAAAAGAGGAAGACACTCAATGAGGTAGATTGATACAGTGGCTGCAACAAGGGGCTCAAACATAGAAATGACTATTAGGATCGTGTAAGACTAAGCAGTGTTTCCTTTTGTTGTACACAGGGTTGTTATGAGTTGGAACTGACTCAATGGCACTTAACAACAAGAACAATTAGATTATATAGAGGAAATATCATTCTTCCCTTTAATCAATTCAAGTACCTTCTCTTTCATTTGCAAATTAGACAATTACATAACTGGGAAGGAGTTGCAGAAAAGCGTGGGTGAATACTGATGAAAATTATGGACTATTTCAGGGCAATTATCTTCATTATCACAAGTTACCAGAGTCAAAAACACTTACAGATAATCTAGTATGGTGTGGCAGAAAAATCCCTTGCACCTGAAATGAGAAGACCTTGAGGCCCAATGTCACTGGGTATGTGTCCTTGGACCTCAGTTTCCTATAAGGTGTTGAATGAGAGTATTAGACAAAATTAGATGATCTCAACTTTGACTGTACATTAAAACTGGGATACTTTATTTAAAATCATACTGATGCACAGGCCCCACCGAAGACCAACTGAATCAGAATCTCAGGGCTGACAGGAAGGTGAATTCTGTCCCTTTTCTCCACTTCCTTCCTTAGACCTCCCCAAGAGAAACTGAATGATTCTTTCCAAGTGAACTGAGCCAAGTCTACTCTGCAAACATGGCCAAACTGTTTTTAATTCTTAACTGGCAACCTTCTGCCATTAGACTAGATTGGTGGGCCCAAACCTGTGTTTTCCCTTACTTTGATCCCGTCTGGATTCACTTTTCACCTTCCAGTGTTAAAATTAAAACTGAGTGGGAATGGAGGGTAGGGTTTGGAAAGGTTTTGCTTGTGTCTTCTTCACGCTCAGTCATGTTCTACCTACCTTTACCAGAGAGCCCTGCATGAAAGGTTATGACACCTCAAGCCTTGTTTCTCCTGTGCTATGATAGATGAATATCCCTCAGATGGTTCCTAAGGGGAAGAGAAGCAACTGGCCAAGTAGAGCTCAGGTATTCCTAAGGCTTGACATATATCCTTGATGTCATCAAATACTCACAAATACTTCAAATATTGGATTAATTTATAGTTCACCTCTGCAATATGACAAATAAGAAGGTGTTTCTTAAAGTTCTACTCATGCTTATGTAACTGTATGGGTTGTGATAAACACAGTAAAACATGTACATTCTAGGTTTCCATCTAAGAAAATATTATTTCTATTTTCAAAAAAAAAGGACAAAATCACATTGATGCATTCGTAGTTCAGACAGTAGAGTGTATTTAGATTTGAAATTTACTTTAAATCACATCTTATTATGAATTTTTATAGTCAACATACCTTGTTTTAATTTATTAAACCTATTCCATAAGTAAGCAAAGGAGGTGAGCCAACAGAAACTTGACCTACTTTTCTACATAGAAGAAAGGATCAAGTTCTGATGAAGAAGAGGCAGGAATGAGGGGAGTAACATAAAAGATGAGACTTTTGAGATGGTGGCTGCCATTTCTGTCATTCCAGTGCATACTACTATAAGATCAATTCCTATTCCTTTGGCTTTCCCTGAGACTAAGATGGGGACCCACACAGTACTCAGTCCTGGTCCGCAAGGATCATTTAGACTATAATGTTAAGCCACTTTTCTCCTGAGAGAAAGAACACCTGACCTTTCTCCTCTGGGGCCAAAGGTGGGGTGGGTGCTAGAAAAGTGAGTACAACCTCTATTTCTCTCTCTTTTTTAATGAATCTAATAAATAAACCTTTTTTTTAAAAAAAGTACTCAGTGTTAAAGAATATATAAGTCAGCCAAACTTTTCTGGTGAATTAGCAAAAATTGGAAGAGGAAAAAAGGTATATAAATCCTGAAGTTAGCCCAGAATTGATCCTGCAGAATTACTCATAACTTGTTCTTCCATTCATATTTAGCAAGAAAAAGGTGGTTATATGCAGTCTGAGAATGACCAATGGAATAGGAAAATCAGATTTTATGAAAAGAAAGAGGCAATGAAATCAGAATGGACATATCAAATTGTGACGTCAAATACCACAGTCAAGTAGTTCCCTTTTTTTTTTTCATTCTGAACATTTCTAAATTAAATAGCTTTGTTTCTTACAATTCAAGTATTATTTAAAGATTAGTTTCAGTAAATCAAAAATTTGGAGTTAGTTTACATCTTCATAAACTCATTAATAAAACTTAGCTTGGGTTTATCATATAATTGATTCCTATTTAGATCACCTGACATAAGAAACAACCAAATAATGAATTTTCAAAAATCACCTTGGATGAAATAACAGACTCTTCCTGATCAGTACTTCTGCACTTTTTTCCTGGGTCCTGCTTTGCTGCTGTACTTTCTGAACTTCCTGATGAAATTAATCGCTTTCTTCCTTGCTGTGTTATCTTTACTTGTGTTTTATCTTTGCCGATTCCTTCTTCTCCACTTCCCTGGATTACATCATTATCTTAAACACACAAAAAAAGAATATTATCTCCTGTATCTTGAAATGTCAGTAATCCATAGGGGGAAAAAATGAAGGAAAAAGAGCAAATAAAATTAAACTTCTGTTTATATTAAACACTTACTTGTAAATCCCACAAAGCACTAATCAGCACAGTGGCCAAAAGCTCCAGCACTGGAGTTAGCCAGGCCCAGAGTTCAGTGTGGGGTCCACCCCTTAACTGTCTCACATTCCCTCTCTGAAAGCCAGGGGGACCAGGGCTGAGTGAGGAAGCAGCAGCAGGGATCCAGGATTGGGGAGGGACCCAGGCCCTCCCCAGTGGCAGGAAAGCAGGGGAAAGGAGAGGAAACCCAGGGGGACCAGGACAGAGTGAGGAAGCAGTGGCAGGGATCTAGGTAAGGGGAGGGACCAGGCCCCACCCCGCAAGCAACGGGAAAGGAGGGAAAAGGAGAGGAAAGCCAAGGGGACCAAGACAGAGTGAGGAAGCAGCGGCAGGGATCCAGGAAAGGGGAGGGACCCAGCCGCCCTCAATGGTGCAAAAGCAGGGAAAAGGAGAGGAAAGGCAGGGGGATCAGGGCAGAGTGAGGAAGCAGCAACAGGGATCCAGGTAAAGGGAGTGTGGAGAGGTTTTGAACAGCTAAGGGAAACAAACATGTGTGTCAGTTTGTCTTACTGTGGTGGCGTGTTGCTGTGAGGCCTGAGGCTGTGCCACCACTGTTTGAAATGCTAGTGGGGTTGCACATGGTACACAGGTTTCAGTGCGGCTTGCAGACAGACAGACTAGGAAGAAGAGGCCATCCACTTCTCAAAGAACTGGACAGGAAAAACATTAGGAATAGCAGAGAAACACTGTCTGATACATTACTGCGCCACTTTATGGATAGCCCAGAAACATTGTCTGACACGGTACAGGAGGATGAGCCACTTAGGTCAGAAGGCTCTCAAAATACGACTGGGAAAGAGCTGCATCATTGTAGTAGAACCAACTTTACGGATATGGATAAAGTAAAGCTTTCAGGACCTCCATCTGCTGACATGACACAACTCAAATTAAGGAGAAACAGCTGCAAACATGCATTAATAATCGGAACATGGAATATATGAGGTATGAATGTAGGAAAATGGAAGTTGTCAAAAAATCAAATGAAATGCATAAAGATTAATATCCTAGGCATTAGTGAGCTGAAATGGACTGGTTGTGGTCATTTTGAATCAAACAACCATATGATCTACTATGGCGAGAATGACAATTTGAAGAGGAATTCCATGGCATTCATCATCACAAAGGATGTTTCAAGATCTGTCCTGAAGTACAATGCTGTCATATGCTTACAAGGAAGACCAGTTAATACAACTATTATTCAAATTTATGGACCAACCACCAAACCCAAAGATGAGGAAAATGAAGATTTTTATCAACTTCTACAGTCTGAAATTGACCGAACATGCAATCAGGATATGTTGCTTATCACTAGTGATTGGAATGCAAAAGTTGGGAAAAAAGAAGAACCACCAGTGGTTGGAAAATTTGGCCTTGGTGACAGAAATAATGCTGGAAATCACATGATAGAATTTTGCAAGACCAATGACTTATTTATAGCAAATACCTTTTTCAACAACACAAACGGTGGCTATACATATGGACTTCACCAGATGTAATACCAGGAATCAAATTGACTACACCTGTAGCAAGAGGCAGTAGAAAAACTCAGTATCTTCAGCTACAACAAGGACAGGAGCTGACTGTGGAACAGACCATCAACTGCCCATATGCAAATTCAACTTAAAATTATACATAATTAAAATCAGTTCATGAGAGCCAAAATATGATCTTAAAAATATACCAACTGAATTTAGAGACCATCTAAAGAATAGATTTGATGCACTGAACACCAATGACCAAAAACCAGGAGAACTGTGGGATGAGATCAAGAACATGATCCATGAAGAAAGCAAGAGGTCATTAAAAAGATAAGAAAAGAAGAAAACACCAGAATGGATGTCAGAAGAGACTCTGAAACTTGCCCTTGAGCAGAGAGTAACCAAACCAAACCACTGCCATCGAGTCAGGTCTAACTCATAGCGACACCTCCTTGAGTGATATCAACTCCGAGGTGATACTACTACAGAAGCAAATCGCCCAACCTTCCTTCTGGGGAGTGGCTGGTGGGTTTGAACCGCCAGCCTTCTGGTTAGCAGTCAGATGCCTTAGGCACTATGGCACCAGAGCAGAGAGTAGCTAATGCAAATGGATGAAATGACAAGATAAAAGAGCTGAACAGAAGATTTAAAAGAGCAGCTGGAGCAGACAAACCAATTACTATAATGAAATGTGCAAAGACTTGGAGTTAGAAAACAAAAAGGGAAGAACACACTCGGCATTTCTCAAGCTGAAAGAATTGAAGAAAAAAAAATCAAGCCTCGAGTTGCAATATTGAAAGATTCTATGGGCAAAATATTAAATGATGTAGGAAGCATCCAAAGAAGATGGAAGAAATACATAGAGTCACTGTACCAAAAAGAACTGGTCATCCATTTCAGGAGATAGCAAATGATCAGGAACCAACAGTATTGAAGGAAGAAGTCAAAGCTGTAATGAAGGAATTGGTGAAAAAGAAGGCTCCAGGAATTAATGGAATACCCATTGAGATGTTTCAACAAATAGATTCTGCACTGGAGGCACTCACTTGGTTATGCCAAGAGATTTGGAAGACAGCTACCTGGCCAACTCACTGGAAGAGATCCATATTTGTACCCATTCCAAAGAAAGGTGATCTCACAGAATGTGGAAGTTATCAAACAATATCGTTAATATCGTACGCAAGTAAAATCTTACTGAAGATAATTCAAAAACGGTTGCAGCAGTATATTGACGAGGATTTGAGAGGTGCAAGCTGGATTCAGAAGAGGATGTGGCAAAGGGATATCATTGCTGATGTCAGATGGATCTTGGCACAAAGCAAAAAATACCAGAAAGATTTTTACTTGTGTTTTACTGACTAGGCAAAAGCATTAAATTGTGTAGATCAAAATAAATTATAGATAACATTAAGAAGAATGGAAATTCCAGAACACTTAATACTCCTCATGAGGAACCTGTACATTGACCAGAAGGCTGTCATTTGAACAGAGAAAGGGGACACTGAATGGTTTAAAATCAAGAAGGGAGTGTGTCAGGATTGTATTGTTTCACCATATTTATTCAATCTATATGCTCAGAAAATAATCCGAGAAGCTGGACTATACGAAGAAGAATGTGTCATCAATATTGGAGGAAGAATCTTTAACAACATGCAATACACTGACGACACAACTTTGCTTGCTGAAAGTGAGGATGGCTTGAAGCACTTACTGATGATGACTGAAGAATACAGTCTGCAGTATGGATTACATCTCAATAAAAAGAAAACAAAAATCCTCACAACTGGACCTATAAGCAGCATCAGGATAAATGGAGAAAAGACTGAAGTTGTCAAAGACTTCACATTGCTTGGTTCTACAATCGATGCCAATGGAAGCAGCAATCAGGACGTTAGACGACGTATTGTTGTTGTTGTTATGTGCCGTCGAGTCGGCCCCAACTCATAGCGACCCCTCCTTGGGTTTCCGAGGCAGTATCGCTACCGAAGTAGGATTGCCCAACCTTCCTTCTGAGGAGTGGCTGGTGGGTTTGAACCGCCAGCCTTCTGGTTAGCAGTCAAGTGC